GTTACATGTGTGGCTAGTTGCACACTTACCTTGTACAAGTCATATGTAATGCATTGACCAAAAACACAATAAAGGTGATAACTACTGATAATATCGGCTTTAAAAATAAATAAAAAAAAAAAAAAAAATCTGTAATGGTAGTTATACCAACATAACTGGCAGATCATGAGGCATCTGTGTAAGTATGACATTATATAAAAAAATGCAAACCAACAAATTAAATAATATAAATACTAGACAAATTCTTGTAGTTATATAAATCTATTGAAATTGGGTAACAAGAAGTCTATTTGATAAAATCTAAGTAGAAAGATAGCTAGATCTTTAATGATTCTACTATAAAAGCTAACTTAGAGAAACAGATACCAAGATCATAGTACCCGATTATAGTAACCAGATAACAAAAACCTTCAGATTGGGAATCTCAAAAGTACTACCAATCAGGTTATCAGAACAAACTAGAGGAAAAGAATATCAAACTAATCTAATATACTGATAGACTGATCATAATCCTACATAAGCTATTTGGATTGAGAGTTTAGTAAAAAGACAAGTAAAAAGACAAATATATACTAAAGTACTAGAGTTATGCTATAAAGTAGATACTGAGATCTAAGTAAACTTTATAAGAACATAATGATTTAATAATTAACTCTAAGTGCAAGTATTAGTTCTGCTATAGTGATATCTAGATCAACTATAAAAATAGGTACAGAAGGCTCTGGAAAGTTTACTTTAAGAATAAATTAATTCTAAAATTGAGATAATGATCTGAGTATCTGAATATGACTCAGTTATATTAATACAGATTACAGATTCAAAAAGTTTAAAATGAAACATCCAAACAAGAATGTTAGATATGGTAATTAGTGAGGAACTTTCTAACAGACTCCTTAAATAGGTAATATAGAAAAATTATATATGTAGCCAATTGTATGTTCTTCTGTATTAGTTCATTAAACCACAATACTGATAAGTGATTAATAAAAATCAAAAGACTAAAGAGGTCACCTTAATAAAAAAAACAAAAAAACAAATATACTAATAAAGACTAGAAGGCATGACCTCACCTTAATACCAAAAAAAAATAATATATAAATTTCTTAAGTAAACAGGTTTTTTTTTTAAAAAAAAAAATTTGTAAATTCATTAAAATTAAATGAATATTGATCAAGATACATATGTTTAAAAATTAGGTATCATAAATTGTTTATATAAATCATATAAAGATCATAGAAGTATGAGTCTGTTACTTCACTCTGAACAATAAGCTTCACGATTGATTATTTTGGAACTTGAAATTGTGTCAAATGATTGAATCTTAGGAGGTTATATTTACGTAATAATGATAAGTGTTAGCTCCCAAATATATATTAAATGTTCAATTGAATGGAGGAATTTGATTGGGTAATTAAAATTGTCTTACGGTCATATACACATAGCGATAATACTTGTAATAACGAATAAAGTCGATAGACCTTAACCAGTAAACCTAATCTTCAATCATGTATACCTTATTGAGTGGCTTTCACAAATACCTTACGCGTAGAGAGGAATTTTATGTTGTCATACTTGGGCTTGATAATGCTGGTAAAACGGTAAATAATTAAATGATTAGTTATTATTTATTTATACGTTTTGTTTACAGAAAAGCGAATGATTTAACGTTTAAAATTTATCATAGACACTTTTAGAGCGTATCAAGTCTATATTTCTTGGAGTTATGGGTCTTTCTCCTGATAGGATTGCACCAACAGTAGGTTTAAACAGTATGTTTACACTTTTTTTTTCATTGAGAATTTTAAGATCGTATGACCTATATATAACCAATTCTTTCATTTCAAAGTCGGAAAAATCGATATAAACAGATCACGATTAAATTTTTGGGATTTGGGAGGGCAACGTGAACTACAAGGTATTTGGGAAAAATATTATTCTGAATGCCATGCCATCATATTTGTTGTTGATTCAACTGATAAAGAACGAATTGAAGAATGTAAAGAAATTTTTGGTATGCTGGTCTAAAAGCTCTATAAAAATAACAGTTCGATCTATATTCAAGATTTTATTTATTTTTTAATTGGCAATTTATATTACAATAGAAAGGATAATTACAAATGAAGAAGTTGAAGGAGTCCCAGTATTGATGTTAGCAAATAAGCAAGATTTACCCAATTCCTTAAAAGTTGAAGAAATTAAAGAAATCTTCAATAAAATTGCATTAAAATTAGGTGCAAGAGATTCTAGAGTATTACCAATATCAGCTTTAGAAGGGTAAGTAATTGATCTATAATTATTATTTATTCTTGCAATTCAAACTTAATTTTTTTTTTCTTTTAGGGAAGGAGTGCGTGAAGCAATAGATTGGTTATGTTTAAGATTACAACGTAATAAACAAAATAGGCCACCAATATTTAAATAATGATTTATTATTCTAGCTAGGAAATAAAATACATATTTATCCTTACATTTAGGCTACATTTCCTATTAATAATTCTAATTTGTAACATAGTGTGACACATTCACTCTTTCCTTTAGTAGTATATATGGCATTGTATTTTAGAATAATTAGAACACAACATTAAAGTCAACTAGAAATAAGGATCATTTATAATATACATATAGTAAATACGTTTTTGCTGAATAATTTTATGCTTACTGACTCGAAACGAATCATGCAACGATCATGTGATTATAGGTGCACCGCCGTACACGGTTTTCTGCAATTTGATTAGATACAAAAAATTAGCCAATCAAATTGCTAATTTTGCAAAATTTTGACTTCTGTTAGCTATTTTCCAAATATGACCTCCACTAGTATTGTGTACAATTCTACCCGGATCGACCGTATAGGTGAACCGGTTGAAAACGGTTTGAATAATATTGACGGCGAGAATTATGGGTGAGTTTTTCGAGGGTGAAGTTGATTCAAAACAGTATTATCGAAAATAAAAAAAAAAGATTCAATTCGAATCTGAGTTATATCCATATTTCAATTTACTTACTGTGGATATTATAAACAAAGTAATAAATATCGTATAATGTATCCGTCGACTCCAAATTGTCACTGTAATTAGGACTATATTTAATAAACGGCATAGTACCGTTCATAAGATAAATCCCTTTAAAGTTAATGTGAAAAAATTCACAAATATGGATATGTTAGATTTGGTGGATTATTTAGCTGAGGTATGGAGAATGAATTTTGAATTAGAAATAGAGAATGCCGAGTCTTTGTTAAGGTTGAGATAACGATAATAATCAGCTGTGTATTGTGTTTTGTGTCACGAAAATAAAATAGAACTTTTTACTTTTCTTGTGTTTATGTGATGCAATATAATGTCCACTCTGCCGAAATGATAGTTGATAATTAGTGGTTGTTAAAAGCACTAAGTTTAATCAAAAAAATTCACAATTGGTGCGTTAGATGTTTTGATAAGCTTATTCCATATCTGCAATACCATATGGACATTTGATAAATGATATCAAATAATTTTTTGATATCAGATACAAAGTTATTACTTATACATCCTTTGTTTTTTCAATGCGTCTAAGTGCAAAACCAACACTCGTGTCATCAACTAACGATTTTACAATATTGTACTTTACTTTTTCTAAATTTTCTATTGCTTCTATTGTTTGATTCAGTGGGTGGGTATCGACGTGTTTTCTATATAGTTTTTAGATTCGATAGGTTTGTCAATCTAAGATTACTATTATTATTATTCATACTGCGTTTATACTCGGACGGGATATTTGAGGACGTCCTCATTCATTCGTGTGTATATAATATCTTGGTAATAATTATGTCTACAGGGTACTTTCATAGAATTACATGATTGACATTGGAGAAGATACTTGCATTGGAATATGATAAACCTTTTTTCGTACAATAATCCCCTGCCTTACTATTTGTTATTCATGACCACCTTCATTCTAATTTCCCGTGTGGCCTGGAATCTTCCTATGAGAGATTCCTGATCATGTGCAAATTAGAATGTTTTAGGTGGTCATGAATAACGTAAGGCAAGGGAGTTATTCATTTATTTCCTGTGAGTTTAAAATTACAGCAGAGAGGATTCTACGATAGCCTATGATCATCGGAAATCTCTGCTGTAAGTTTTAAGCTCCCAGAAAATAAATAATACTAATGTGGTATCCACACCGTTATCGCCAACGTGGATGTATTCTTCGCTATGAAATCCGTATAAATACAAACCTGGAGAGACTTTATGACTAGACATCAATTTAGCGCAGGGCCACAGACATAAACTTAGGAATGATGGTGCAGCTAGTATATTCTCTCTTCGTCGTACTCGTTGCGGGTTTTATATCGCTATCTTCGAACAATATTCTCGAATAAAGTTGTTACTTTATTCAGTATTGGGATCTGGAATACGAAAGTTTTCTAACTCCACGTGTGCAATTCGACTTTTTGTTTTCTTGTCTATTATGATGGGAAGAGCTCAAATTAATACACAGCTCAGATCGTAAGCATAGCGATAGAGGGTACAATGAAATATATCAAAGGGTACAAAAGAAAAACTATCGAAGGTACTACTAAAAGTTCAGATATTTATCCCTATTAACCCTTTATATAGTTTTTCTATTAGGCTCAAATGAGTTCTGCCAAGGGAAAACCTGTCATCGGGCTTTCAATTATATTCTTTGTCCAGTTTGTTCCCAGAATGCCATCTTGGAAAAATCTATCATCGGTTTTATCAATTAACCAATTAATAAAATTAAAAAGCCTGATGATAGATTTTCTCTAAACAAAATATAATTGAAAGCCCAATGACAGGTTTTCCCTTGGCAGCGCTCAAATAAGCTAGAAATCATTACGCAAACTTTTAACTACAAAATATGTAATAAAGTAACATTTCGTAATTACGTAATAATTTACTATTAATCATAATAATTCAGTGTATTTTAATTTATTAAGGCATTTTTCATAACAACGTACACACGTATTAGGCTTTTATGCTATCTACGATCACGCAATTTATGCAACGCAATCACGTTACATAACCCGAACCCCGGCGCTACAAATTACCGGGGACTATCGAACGTGTCGAACCCACACAGTGTATTACATATTAGCAAAGCAAAGAACAATAATGAAGGCTTATACAAAGGAAAATTTTTAGCCAAAATTTTCGCAATATATAGTCGTAACTTTTTTTAAAATCCGGATTTGCAGGATCGAGCATTTAGATAAATTAGTAAGAAAAAAGTGTTTATTTTCGCAATACAATAATAATGTGTTAAATTATGTTTTCTGTGTAATAGTATCAGATGTTAGAGGTTACATATTCAACTGGTTTGACCCAAGTTGTAAATTTTTGACCAGGTTTACTATAACCCGGTTCTAAACTCTAGACTAAAATTCCGTCAAAGTTAAACTCTTTGAAATATCAGTAGCTTCTACTATTGAACAAAATTCCTCGAAAGAAATTTTTCCGTCCATGTCTTTATCAGCTTCCATGATTGTCTTATCAACAATTTGCTGAAGCTGGTTGTCCTTCAGGTTATTTCCGACCATCATTTTTAGGACAAGAAACAATTCTCCATTTGAAATGTAGCCATCTCTGTCCATATCATATACTTTGAAAGCGACTATACAAATTGATTATATTCATAGGAAAAAATCAATATAAATAAATAAAAAATAAATTGATTATTGCACACTCACAACGCAATTTTTCGACTTTATTTCCTTTTGCGCTAAAAGCACTCAATCCAGAAATAAATTCTTCAAAATCTACATCACCACCACCATCCTCATCAAATATAGCAATCATCCTTGATGCCAGTGGATTATTTGCAATCTGTGGAATCGAAAGAAATTCTTCTCGGTCAATGGAACCCGAACAATCTTTATCGAGCTTCATAAACCTTTTGTAAAGTCTTTTTATTTCTTCTTCGGTGACTATTAGTAAGTAATGAGCAAAAATATTAAATAACTATGATAGTCGAACAAGCATGAATTTTATCAGAAACACATTTGACGTTACAAATAAATTCTAGAGTTACAATTGCTATTGTCAACCATAGTTTGTAAAGGCCGTGAGTCGGCCTGCCCCATTTTATTTTAAAAGTTCTTTTTTTTCGCACTGTTTATAATAAAATGAAAGATGTGTTAATTTTATATTTAACCTACTGACATAGTAACTACTAACTAGAAAGGTCAAATTTATGGTAAAGAAGGCTGTATACAGGAAAAAATATCAGAATAGAAAGATAACCTTTAGATTTAAATATCGCTACTTACCTATCGAACTAAATAACGAAACTTTGTCGTTTAGTATACAAGATTAGCTAACTACCAACCACTGCTACTAGGTAAAGATGTATAAATATGTATGAGTATCACGAGATGTTACAATATAATCTACTTATATACTAAATAAAGTAACCTGTTCTACCAATAATGTGTTCTGCTTAAAGGAAATTCGGGTATGTCAATAATATCAATAACGTTCTTGCCAACTAAAAAAAAGAAACACCAGTTGTTCGATGCATTCTAGAGGCTACATGAAATTAGATAAAGTACGTAATCGTAGAATTTGATTGTGACGTCCTGAATTACATCCTAAGCACCTGAAATTCTAGGCTTAACATTATTTGTTCAAATCAAGATCGTTCTTTTTCTCGAGAATATTTCACTGCGCACAAAAATTACTATTTTTCTTTTAAAGCTAAGAATAATAGCTGTATTAATTCATATAATATTTCCAAAGACCGGATTTTAATAGATTTATTGATATAGAATCAATCGAAAAGTAATTGCTATTAGTACATTACTTTTCATGTCTTCAATCGAAACAAATAATGGTAAAGGGTTTCCACCAGCAAAACCGTTTCGACGGAGGTTGTCTTTTCGAACTAAGCCAACTCCGGTTCCGGAACCAATATCTATAAGTGGCTTTAATTCAGTACGAGGGAGCATAAGACGCTTTCGTCGTGTTTCTGGAAGTGTTTCAAGTGCGCAAACGTCATCAAATTCAACAACAGATCCTGCAACTATCAGCCAATCAACTTCTAATTCACAATCACCAACATTTCCATCCTTTCCCCGCCTCTACAATATAGCATCTATTGCCCGTGAATTAAGAGAGATAAATCTTTCACAGAGGACTGCTGATTTGACGGCTGCTGTAACGGAAATGGGTGTTGAAATAGGTAAAAAAGGTGTAGAATTTGGCAGTATGGCCAGGGATGCTGTTGTTGATCGATGGAAAAAACGAAAAGAAGGTGTGTTTTAATCTCAAGGCAAAAGAACAGTGGTAATGCTTAAAGACCTGTGCTCTGGGATAAATCGAGTATTACATACTCATTTACACTATTTACCGACTTGTAACTTTTACGATTTACTATCCATAGATCCTTCATCAAATAGTGGTCTTCTTAATGCTAAAAGATTTATAACCAGGGAAACCATTTTTGGTGCACCACTTAAAATTGCTGTCACTTTGACACGTGTTGAAAAGGATATAAAACAAATTTACAAAGATCCATCTAGATATTGGGTACCAGCATTGGTTCTAAGATGTATAGAATTTTTGGATGTTAATGGTATTGTTTTCGCTTTTACCATTTAATCATAATTTATCTTGTAATGAGTTTATTAATATATGAAAATTTTCTTTTAATATTTTTAGGTTTAGAAGAAATTGGCATTTACCGGTATGTTTATTTGGATAATATATAATGAATCTCACAATTAACTCGACAATTTTGATACTTAGAATACCAGGAAGTGTAACGGCAGTGCAACGTATGCGTAATATTTTCAATTCTGGTATGTACCATATTATTATGTGTTTGTTTTATAAACAACCTATTCATTAGTAATAAGTTGTGTTATTATTATTATAGGGTTGGATTTAAATCTTTTACAAAGTTCTAGGGAAGATCCACATGTCGTAGCAACACTCTTAAAGATGTATTTGCGCGAGTGTATGTGATGATAACAGTTTATAAATTACTATTTCGAACTGTGTTATGTTTTTCGAGCATAATTGATTTATTATTTTTATTCTACAGTGCCGGAATCTATATTGTCGGAGGTGCTTTTACCAGACTTTAGTGCGTGTATAGCGAAGCATACCAACTCTGACCTCAATGCTATACCACCAGCAATTATACCTGGATCTGGAACTCAACAGATGTCCACTGCCTACTTCACTGCTCCGACCTTGGTCCCAGAAGCACTGCCTCATGATCTTGCAACCATCATTTCTCGCTTATCTCCTTATCATTTTTATACATTACGTGCCCTTTTTTCACATCTTTCTCGCGTTGCTAGTAAGAGTGACACAAACAAAATGACTATTAGCAACCTTGGCCTGATTTTTTGTCCAAGTTTAGGAATAGGTTCAATTCTTTTCAAAGCATTTATATGCCATTTAGATATTGTTTTTGGAAAAGGATGTAATAGTGAAGAAGTAGAAGTTGAAAATGAGAAACGAGAACAAGAAGTTAGAGAAAAGCAAGCGCCGCAAGTATATCACAGAACTTATATTTCCGAAGATTTCTCGAAAAGTTTTGAAGACCTGTTGATGATTGATAGACATCCTAGTGCAAATAGTTCAAGTAATTCATATCCATCGTCGTCGTCATCTTCTGTAAAAGGTTTACCTGTAAATAAAGACGATATTGACACTCTTAACAATAATCAAACCGATGTTATGAAAAATTTTGTTGTAAATAATACGACATTCTCTACAATTTCACCACTTTCATCATCATCATCTATAACAGTGCCATCTACACCACCATTAAAAGATGCTAACAAAGATATAAACAACCAATTTAATTATGACGAATTTCCTGAGCAGCATAATCATTCTTTAGTAAATATAGCCGGTGCAGAAAAGACAGAGAGAGCTTCATCTTCCCCTTCAGTTTTCAGCCCTTCTTTTCGTTTAAGGTCTAGTAGTGTTCCATTGAAAGTCATAGAATTAGATTTTTCAGAGTCAGACGAAGAACAGAACCTTACTGAAGATGAAGACTCCAATGATATAAATTCACCAACCCTTATGTCATTTGATTATTCTGATCAATTCGGCACTAAGAAGGGTGTGCTAAATTTGACATCAAGAGTATCAAATAATTGGACAACACAGCACAGTGGTGTTAATGACGGGAAAATCGGTAGAAGACGCCGACCAAGTTTAGAAGAAACGGAGAAATGGAAAAAGACACTTTTAACAAATACGAACGCTAATACACCTCCTAATATCACTGAAGTAACTCGCGAAGAGGATGAAATTGATGGGAAAAAAATTCCGAAAACTGGTGTTGATGTAAAAGCAATAGTCAGTTTAATTGACAGTGGCAGTACTGAATCTTTAAGCTCGTTACATACTCGTGGAAATGCTAATTAATAGTTTGATACAACTTATTCGACCTTTGATCATCTTGTGTACATATTTTTTTTTTTTTTTTCTTGGGAATATAGGGTATAGGAGAATGGTATTTTCATTTATTATTATTGTTATTCTTATTATTTATATAGTATGTTATTGTTCTTTATTATTCTTACCATTATGATTTATTTTTCTATTTATTTATTCCATAATGTCAAGTTTTGACGGTACGAGTATATTTGACATTATTTATTGAGATTAGACTTGGCGGGAACCTTTATCATTTTACGTTCTATGTATTTATGTTTGTATTATTTTTTTTGTATAGTCAGATTATTTTTAATGATTTACTCTCGACACAGATATGGAAAAATACTTGCCGAATATTTGATATATTGACGATGTATTTTTCACTAAGTATAACAGTATAACATATTTTATGATTTGCATATTTCATGATTTTTAAACACTACATTTTTTTTTATCTAGTTTTTGATTTGATGTAAAGTTTTTAGTCATTTATCAAATTGTATTAATACACCAAAAAAAAAAAGAAAAAAAAAGAATCAAATCAAAAATTTTCTACACTTAATTCACGTATTAGAATGAAGTATAATGGGAATGTGTATTTATATATGTAGGTATATACGTTGTTTCGAGATGCCAATTGTCCCGAATGTTAGATTAACAATCTGAAATTAATTTGAGCCGAGTATTTAAATACCATAGAACACTGACCAAAAGACCGGGGTCTAATACAAAATATCCACCAAAAATTTTACACAAAAGAGCCAGATATATTATGCGGTAACGGGTTTGTGTCGCAAGGAAGAAATTTTTTAAACACATACATATTCCGCACTTACAATAAGGAGTCTAGAAATTTTTAAAACCCCATATTTAATTAATAGAGATCTCGTGTTTTGCACGGGGTACTCAAAAGGAGATCTTTCTACGGTAAATTGGGTGTACGTAATTGCTTCTTCTATTATATCCCATATGTTGTTCATGGCATAAAAATTAACATTTAATATGCGAAGCATAATATACAATACAGATAAATCTAAAAGTTCTGTTATATAGCATACTGGTATAATGGAATAGGCATAACAAATATTTTCTAATAATTACTTGAATTGAACTTAAAATAATTAAAAAATAAAAAAATAAAAACTCTCTCTCTCTCCATCTACATTTGGTAGTGGAGAAAAAAATTAACAAAAACTATTAAACCTTTATTGAAAAAATTTACTAAAAACAATACAAAGGCTAAAACCCTTGTGCCCAGAAAAAGAAAACAAGCTTGTTTAACTATGTCTAGTCCAGTGTCAACGAGTTACAAAAATAAAAAAACTAAAATCGCAAGCCTTAAAGAAAAGTCTAGTCTTGACTTTGATGATATAAGCAAAAAAATAAAACAAGAAGAAAACAACAGGTCCAATAGCCTTATTACTGAAAAAAAACTGGAAAAAGAAAATATACCAAAGGTTGGTATAGAAACTTCTAAAGGTCAAAAGAATAAAACAGCAGAACTTGAAGAAGAAGACTTGTCTTTAGTCGTTTCTTTGAGCAATAAAGATCAAATTTCAGATGAACAAACAAAACAAACAACATGTAAGGAGCCTACATCCAATCACGTAAACAACCAATCAGAAGCCTAGGATAAACAAACCAAACTGAAACAGTGATCTGATCTTTTCTCAAAATTGGAAAGAGGAAAAGCCACATACTCTACCTATTCTTCACGAAAAAGAATTGTTACCAAAAATGAAAATATACTAATCTTTGAATTATTTAGTTTAGAAAACATTTCTACTGCAAGAATCATAGAAGCTTTGAAACAAGAAATAGGAGAAGATCTGGTTGTAGCCCGGCTAGTGATTAACAAAAACAAAAGAACCCATTTAGAGGTTGTGTTTTCAGATGAAAACAAACAATAGCAATACGCAGCTAAAGGTGTTAGTATCTTTAAACAGACCTTACAAGAGTATATTTCTATAAACATCAGACGCAACTTCCTATTAGTCAGAATTCGAAATGCACCAATGAGAAAAAAGGAATTTATTTCAGAGCAGATTAGAGAAGCATTTCAAGATATTGACATAATCTTATCGATTAAACCACTGATCCACAAAGGAACCTCTATAATATCAGACCAGTGGGTTATAATCTTTGAAACAACAGATGACCTAGATTTGACAAGTCGAATTTCTAGATTTACACATGTTTGGGACTACAGAGTCACTACCGACTGAAGAGAGGCCCCAAAGATGTGCTTTTTCTATGACAAAGCAGGTCATATAAAAAAAAACTGCCCAGACTACAAACTTTCAGTTGAGACTAGAAACCTATACAAACTGCGAAAAGAACAAAAGAAACAAGAAAAAATTCAGCTCCAACAATGTATAGAGAAACCTTTCGAATTCAGTTCAAAAAATCCCTATATAAACAATGAACTAAAAAACAAAAATACTATGAACAACTCTATGGAGAAACTTGAAACAATGAACACAGAAGATGAT